AATGGAATGAGGAATTGTTGAAGGATTTTGAAAACGGAAAAAATGATAGTCATGCCGGCCCAGCATCCTCAACGTTGAAAAATGCCCCGGCACGAAGTGGTTAACATATGCACTTAAAAGAGATCTACATGTACTACCAAAAGTGAACAAAATTATCTCTCAACCATGTATGCCTTACAAAGCAATGTGGTAAAAAATCCACTCTGGGAAAAAAGGTGTAGGCTGAAACTATACTGGGTCAAGAGTAATATGAGACACAAATTGGAAAGAAATGATTTTAACTTTCCAGTCAAACTGCTTGAAAAGGGAGCAAACTCCTAAACTTGATTCATGGGAATAGTTTGCATCGCTGAACGATTCTTGATTATCTAAATCACAGCAAATTTCCAGTACTATTCTACAAGGCAATTTAACAGGATAAAATGCACTCAAAGGGTTTTTCATATGGCTAGTCAGTCAAACTTACAATTGCACTCGAAATCTATAATATAAAAGAATGCCAGTGATACAGCACTCATCAACCTTACAAGAAAGTTTTGCGAGAATGCACGCAATACAAGTCATGAGATACATGTGTCCTTTTCCAGAAGATGTGTCTGTAGGTAAGCCTGTTTGATATTCATTTCTTTTTATATCCTGATATCATGAAAAAATATTGCGATACCCAAAATTATCACGATGACGTCATTTTCCATTCATAAAATAAACACAACTGAAATCACCACTGTCTTGAGAGCCACGTAAAAAAACCTATGTATATGTAACACCTCTATATTGATAATTAGAACTCCAATGCTGGTGGGAAGCAAATTTCAACATGGAATTTGTGGACATTGAATTATCATATCATATCATATAATGGCACAGTACAGAAAAAGCCATTTGGTCGATTTACATGATATCCCGATATGTTTTTTACAAATGGTACGATATCCAATATCAACATCATATCGAAATATCGGCATATCGAACAGGCTTATCTGTAGGCGATAACATTAAACTGAAATCTTTCTAAGGAACTCTGCCTCACTTTATCTGAAGCCAGGGGTGAGACAGACATGGGTGTTTTTTTCTACTAAGAAACTGTTCAGGCGTATCCATGAATTTCTTGACATTACAACTTCAGAAAAGCACAAAAATGGTGTCGTAGTAAATGACCACAGATTGTACACTTATTATAAACTAACAAATAATCTACTTGAATCAGAATACATGTATGTACTCAACTTACCTAAAAGAGCCAACATTCACAACTGGTGAAACGTCAAGCCCAGCAACATGACAGAAGTCACGATGCTTGCAGGAATTCAGGCAACCTTTGGGAATGCTAGCAAACAATTTACACTTAAGGTTGCTTGATGAGAACACCAAAATTTCTTGTACAATTTGAGGGTTCAGAATGCCACATGTGCAACACTTTTGGACCCATGTGGTATCATTTCCTGAAATAGACCAATCTGCTTTCTCACTGGATGCCTTGTTGCCACCCCAGAGGGGTAATACCCTGATTGGGTATCATGGAGGAGAAATTATGGGATGGAGGGTAGAAGGGGTACAGGGCAACCCGCTCCTTTAATCCCCACTTCCTTAATCCCATTTCCAAGAAGAAAGGAAGATGGGGTGTTGCAACTTGGTAGGGCAGGAAGGAATCACACTTTCATTGTTTAGGCTTCAATATATCAGAGACATACAACATTTGGCATTAGGCCAGTGACTTTGCAGCAAGTCACCATGGGTCTTGGGAAAGATAGAGATCTTTGTAGAGAGGGACAGGGAGAGAGAAATATAACTAATGCACACAGAGTGTGTAGGTTACAAATTACAATAGAAAGAGATCTGCACATGAGGTCATTTTTAACCTGAAACCTTCAGGAGGTCTGGGTTACATTCACATTTGCCAGACATCACTGCTCCATAAAAGACATGAAAATGTACCCCCTGAAAAGTTTAAATGCTTTCATTCAAAGTAATGCTTCTAAAACTAATGAGAAAGACTTCAAGGTGTAAATGTGACAAAATGACCATATTTCTGTGTACTTTTATTATGATTTTATTTTTACAAGCGGCACGGCAGTATTAGCCACAAAGCCTGTGGTTATTACATTTGTGAGGACACATTTACCCCATCCTATCGAATCCTACCCTGCAGCCACCACTACAAAGCTGTTTTCTCATTGGGGATTTTAACTTATATACATGTATACCCACCTCTCTAGATATGGACAACCCACCTTTTTCTGGACAGGCATTCATCAACAGTCCTTGGCTTGACCGAGTCCCTTGGTATGTCCCAATTGGTCACATTGGTTTATTATTCCTAATAGAACCAGCCCGAATAGTGCAAAAACCATGCTAGACCCTCTCCTCTTCTGCAACAACCCAGACTTAATACCCAATGTTTATTGTGGTCCTCGACTTGCCAACAGTTATCATGATTCTGTACATTCCAAAATGTGTTCAGCTGGTTTCAACCAAGGTCTTTGTGGCACATTTTATCAATTTCATAAAACTGATGAGACAGACTTCAGGAAAACATTAGAGTGCATTCCTTAGGACCTTTTTCTTTACAACTCTAGCATCAATGAGACATGGGATAACTTCACCACTGCCATCCATGCTGCAGTCAGGGACATTGTCCCTTTGCCATCTCGAGAGGCTGTCGAAGATCACCCTGGATAACCTGTGCCATCATTGTCACAGCAAGAGAGAATAGAGCGTACAGCGAAGCTTTTTCTCATGAAAGCAATGCCAACTTTTGGAACAAGTACATGTGTAGAGACCCCATTGATGGAGCGACTCCACCGAAGCTGCAGATCATTTGCATAAGAATTTTTTCCAGATGCACTCGCAAAGAGAAAGCGGGAGAAGCATTTGCCAAGATGGTCTTTCATGGGTTCCTTTCCCCTGAAACTCGGGCCTATATTCAATATTTGTGAAATAGCGGCAAATGTTTCAGTGAAATTGCTGCATTATTTCAAGTATCCCGAAGTTCGGTTCACTGCATTTGTTCCAGTGACGCTGGTATTGACTGTTGTCGCCGTGGAAGAGGTGGACAGAAAAGAATTTTGACTGGTCGAGAGGAGCGCCTGTTGCAAAGAAATTTGCTAAAACAGCGAGACTACAAGCTACATGTGGATTCATGCATGTTTCAGACAGGACTATTAGACGTGCTATTAACCGACTGGGATTCCGATACAGACAAGCGCGTAAGAAAGGACTTGTTACGAACAGCAACCTGAGGAAGAGGGTGCAATTTGCAAAGAAAATGCAACCTGGTTACTAAGAAAGGTGTAGACAAGCCGTATTTTACCTGGATGGCACGTCTTTTGCTCATAAAACGAACCCACTGGATCAAGCCCGAGCACCGAGAGCTCAGGTATGGTGAAGGCAGAGTGAAAGACTGGACCAGCATTGTACAGCGAAAGCGAGCAAAGTTGGGACTGGAGGCAGCACTGTCAAGGTGATGGTGGTAATAATGCACGGAGAATGTGTCATACTCTGCGAACCGTACGAGACGATTAATGGCATCTTCTTTGCAAGATTTATCACCGACAAATTCGAGGTGATTTCTCGGGCCGACAAAGAAGGAGGTCGGCTTTTCCTACAGGATAGCGACCCCAGTCAGAATTCCGGAGCTGCCCGGGATGCAATGGCTAAAGTGAACTCAGAACTTCTACCCATTCCTCCCAGGAGCCCAGATTTAAATCCTGTCGAAAACATTTTCAAACTGGTTGGAGATAAACTGAAGAAGGATGCAATCGACCATCAGATCACCCGCAAGAATTACGCAGAGTTTCAAGCACAGGCCATTAGTACTATATGTTCTATTCCATCGGAAATCATTGATAAAACAACAGAATCTATGGACGGTAGAATATCTGCTAACTAATGGTGGTAAGAGGTTGAAGAATTAACGTGCAGAGCCAGTCATGTGCAGAATACACCTTGTGATCCGTGACAGTTTGCCACTTTGCAGGCAACTTAGGCTTGAGCCAATAGGTTTGAGCACACTGGGAGTTATCTCTTTTTTATTAATCTACATGTATGTAGGCCTTTGACATTGTCAGAGCATCTTCATTGTTATCTGCTGCGGTTAGTACGAGCAAGTTGTACATTTTTTTACTTACAAAAAAGAAGATAAAACCCAAAACCAAATACTCCTTTCTTCCTACACGCCAGCTGCACGTGCATTGTTTAGCAGATAATTCTGAAAATTGCCAAGTAATGTGCACAGATTGGCTGAGAAGAGAAACTGGTAGTTTGAAAATAAAACCTCGCTGCAGAGCAGCATCTCTGATAAAAATTTCAGCTAAATGTGTTTCGTCTCCTAACCACTTTGCATCAGAAATGCTTATTTCTGGACCCCAAAAGAACCATTACAACGGTGATGATTAGACAGGGAGAGTGAGACCGAAAAGGCTAATGGCGTGCTCATCTTACTTTATTGTATCTTTCAAAGTGCAAGGTAGTGTTGACACGACAACAATAAAATAATGTGACCACATGGTACTTAAAGAGGATGGTTGTATAACACTGACGTGCATTTTCCGAGTGTATGCAAGAGTTTCTCAAACTTTTCGTCCAGTTCTGGATGTAGGGCAGTGGGTGATTGAAATAGTGTGTGAAAAATGAGAACTTTGCAACATTGTAGGATGCTCGATCTTGAACATGTCATTTCTGTTAATGTTGTCATGCATTTCCTTCGCCAAAACAAACAAAAAATAAAGCATAAAACAAAAAGGATTTCAAAAGTGCAGTCACGCGGCAGCTTCATTGAATGATTGTCAAGTTCATTTGTCGTTGCCAAGGACAAGAGATGCAAAACAATGCTGACATGAAGGTACATCCCTCAGCTCTTGTTCAGGGATTTGGTAGAAAAAGCTGAATAGCCGCCATCTTGCCGCCATCATCTCTGTTTCTCAGTTGTCAACAGCGCCTCCACTCACGAACACAAGTTGAAGTTTGCTGGTGCAAAAGATCGGATCATCTGACTCAAAGACCAGATCACTGGCAAAGTGGAACTTGGGTGCCGGGAGATGCATGGGTTGGCCCTCCAATAGCAAAAGCAAAGGGAGAACTGATGGTGACCAGCGATAGTCATTTAAAAAAATAACTTCCGCCTTTTCTGCACCGACCCAGGCAAAGGTTGTAATAGGGGGGTTTGTGAAAGTTCTGTAGATGGAGTTTAGGGGGTTCAGTAGAAATGTCTTGCCGCAGATAGCTGGGCCAATAATCATAACATTCCGATACTTCCGGCGGCCTCTGTCAAGAAGTTCCCTGCAAGCTTCCGCAAATACGTCTCTGGGCACTTTGTTGTTTTACAGGATGTCTTCGGCGCATCTCATCCAATTAATAGAGAAATACACATTATTATGGGTATGATTGAAAAGCGTGTGAAATTTCATTGAAGGCAGGCGTGTATACACTGCAACCAGAAATATATGGTCAGAAATTGTCTCTGAAATGCAATATATATTCGACATAAAAGGGACAACAGCGACCTTGTCTCCCCTGTTAATGATGAACTCCGCCAAGTCAGTTTTGTAAAGGCCAAGACAGATTCCCACACTGTTAACAAATTTATGCACAGTGATACCACTTTTGATACTCCTTGTTCCATTGCCGGGGCATTTTACATTTTTTTATGTCAATTTTTCTCCTCGGCACACTACCTTTGATTTTCCTGATGTTTTTGCATTTTATCCCGGCTTAGATCACTTACAACAGTTTCAACTCAGCCAAGGAGATGTGCTGATGGCAATCCAAAATCCTTGGTTTTGATGGTATTTCCCGAAGAATGCTGAAGCTTTGTGACAACTCAATTGTGCCCATTTTAACCCAAACATTTATTCTTAGTCTGTTAACAGGCAATGTATATCTCAAGACTGGAAACTTGCTAATGTTATGCCACTGTGTAAGAATGGCCACAAGTGTCTCATTTTCAATTATAGACCAGTTTCCTTTGGTTCTGTTTCATGTAAAATTTCAACCCAAACTATTGTGGGTAACATACATGTACATGTAGGTGATAACTCTGTTCCACACTTGAGCTAGTGCCTATCTTTCTTGACTGGTCTAAAGCCTTTGACCGAGTAGATCACTCAATTCTTTTACTGAATGTAACCCCATCCCAAATGAGGTCTTGGGTTATAATGTCAAATTTGATTTTCTTTTATGACTATGTTTTTCCTTTTGCATTCTGCAATTGTTCTTTCCTCAGCTTTTGACCTTTCTACTGGTAAGCAGTGTTCCAGTGGTGAACCTTTGATCTATTGCCTATTCCTTTTGTCAAATAGCCTGCTCTTTCTTCAGTTTATCTTTAATGTTCCTGCTTTCCTAGGAGATCATAGGATGCTCTTTGTATCCACTGCCTTTAATCTCTGACTAGTACATTTGTGTTGTTCACTCCCAGTAAATTTTATAGGAAATCAGCAGGATGTTGAGACACTAAATCCCTAGTTGTTGTTCGCACCTTACCCAAGCTGTGAGAGCCTTAAATTTCTGCCGAGTGCTCATCTGCCTAGATGCTAAATGACCAATCAGTATTGGAGTCACGTGTGATATTTTTTAAGTTGTCCAATGAGAGCCTGATCTAGTCATGTGGCAAGGGCATTCTGGGTGGCAGTTTGTCCCAGAGTTTTGGGCAAGCTTGGCATTCCAAACTTTGCCATCGCGCCGACTACATGCCTGCCGAAATTTTGAATGCTCTGCACTATTTCTCTTTGGACCGGAGGACCTCAAAATCCAAGTCTTCCCACTATGTTCACGAGTGTTGGCTCTCTATTTTAGGTAAGTTTGAGTTCTTATTTATATCATTTTATGCTATTGCATATCTTTTCTGGGGGTTAGTCTTTGCCTTTTTCACTGTGACTCTTGTAAATTGTGAAAAGAAGTGTACCAGTTGATTTTATGAAGTCTGAACTTTGGGATATTCTGAGAAGTCCAAGCAAATTTATGATGGTGAAGGTTTTGGTATCTCATAATTTCCACTAGCCAGTAATGTTCTGAGACTAGATCCAAAAGAGATGTTTCCTCGGAAAGCCTTGCTTTTACATTTACATGTAGCTTAAGACATGTTTAGTGAACTATTTGAGATGGTTGAGGTTGGGTATGTTCCAATCACTTTGACTTATAACTTGGTGGAGGCTGGGAATAAGTTGTGCCCTTCACTGCATTGAGAAATATGAGCAGATTTTGAATATATGTGTAAGTCAGGGCTGATCACCCATCACATCCATGGTGTAAGTGATAGACTGACTGTGGTCCTACAGTCTGGACTGATGCTTTTGTAATGCTTTTCTGATGACTATGGTTTATTTGAACAGGGTTTGTGAATATTCTATAGATTCTGAGGTGCGTTGATTTATCAAAAGTTAGAGATATGAATTGTCTTTTGGTCAAGCTTTAGACTTTGATTTTTCTGAGTTGGAGTTTTCACCAATTAATTCCTACCTCATGATTCGTGGGACTGAGAAATGTATTCCTAGGGTGACCCTGTCTAGTTTTAAGATTTGTTCTAAGTCAGTGCCTTAGATATACCTTTCCTTTACGTGCTTTAACTTACATGCAAGATAATGTTTTATTGTGAGGCTTTCATACACGATGTACAGCTATACCAAAACACATAACCCATAGAAAGTCGGTTGCGTTGGTCTGACCCCGTAAATGTGGTTATGTTAGTAATGTAGCATGGATCACTATGCTCTCTATCTTAGTTACTGAACTGCACATTCTGAAAGAGGGTCTGGAAGGGGAGTCTCTGTAGTCCACCTGAAGAGCTGTCCCAAGGCATCCCAGCCACTGAGCTATTGTGACTTGCAGACACAGCACATGTACACCAAGGCATCTGTGGCATTAATCACCAGCATCAATCTTGCAAGATCCGCAAATATTCCTTTGCGTTACATTTCTTCTGCTTAACTTTTGCTCTTCACTTTTTGTCAACCGGCTACCAACATGACGGACTCCTGTTCTCCCACCTTGGAAGGACTCATCACAACTCATCTCTACATCTAGAACTTTAGCGCCAATTTTTTTCAGCTCAAAATGTATTCTAACTTAACAGGATCCTACATTTTCTGTAAATCTCCTGTTTTAATTTATAGCCATTTGAATTGGTGTTCTGTGGATTCACTTCATATTTCTCATATTGATTGAGTTGTTCCCTCCAATAAAGCAGAATCTCTTTTGTACGTAAATCCTGAATTGTGTGAGGTCAACAGTTTTTTAAAAGGGAATTAGATTAATATGAAATTTGGTTCCTGCTATTTTGAAATGTAAACCACTGGTTACATGAAGTTACATGATTATGGCATTTGTGGTGACATCCTCCCCTGGATTCATTCATTTCTATCTCAGTGTAATCAACATTTCCTCTTTTCAGGTGCCAAGTCCAACTGGGCTCCTGTTACTTTGGGCATTCCACAGGGCTCTATTCTTGGACCTGTTTTGTTTCACTTATTGAACAATCAAATCCTCTCTTCCTCAGTATGCAGACGACACTGTTTTATACAGAATTATTGGATGTGCAGATGATTGTGTCATTTTACAAGACGATCTTAAAGAGCAACCCCAACAGTGGCGAAAAATGGGACTACAGTTTAATATACTGGTGTGATATCTAGGTAATAAGTTATATATGTAAAGTGACTTCTGACTAAATAGTAATGCGATAAAAATAGTGACCAATTCTGCGGGTTTTTCAAAAATTTTCCACTTTTGTACCGTTGGTGGCACCATGCAGAAATGCTTTTTTATTTTATACCGCCATGGAAAAGAAAAACGTCATGACCTCGCAGGACCTGGTTTCGTGGGTATGTTTTCGTACAAAGGCCAGCGCGCCTGAGCTGCCAGCCTAGCCTGACACTTTTTTTGGAATAAAAAACATTGAAAATATCTGTTCTTCACTCTGAACTTACCAAGCTGCATTTTTCAAATGATCGTGGTCTCCTCATTCACCAGCGGTGGCCCCATCGTCAGCCTGATTGGGATCCCCATGGCGCTCTGGTGGCACAATAAGTTTGAAGCTGTAAGCTCTGCTCCTCGGATTTGGGACAATGCATTACTGTAACTACACACGTGTTACTATACTATGTGTTATTATGTGCATTGACCTGACCATGCCTGCTCAGTGCGTACATGCACCAGCTGGAGAACCGTTTCCATGGTGCTACGTCGACAAAATCCTGGAAAAGCCGTATTCATGAGATGTAAATGAAGCAATGATGACATGCTCCTTTCATGGCGCCATGGCACTCAGCAGAAACGGGTCTCAAAAGTGAGTTTTTTAAACCAAAAACATTTGCTGAACCCGGGTTTATATGTATGTGTATGTGGCATAGATGTCTATAATGGGATCGAAGTAGACTTACTGTGGCAAGATTTCTTATTTTCTTCCACCGTTGGGGTTGCTCTTTAACATATGGAGATGGTACGAACAAAACACTATGCAACACAACCATCAGTAGTGTAAAGTCATGCATGTCACACAATCAAGGAAAGTCATCACAATTACTCATCACAATTACATGCAAGATGCAGCACCCTTAGAAGTTGTTGACTCTGATAAGTACCTTGTTGTAGTTTTATCAAACGACTTAACCTGGTCTAAATATATTCAAATGGTTCATTCTGGACTATCTGGTTTCATCTTTTGAACACATGTACGTGTCCATGTAAAATGGTATGATTTTTTGGAGGCATAGATGAAGGTGGATGGTTTCATGTTTTGTACAGTTCTCTCAAAAAATGAAAAGGTCCTTTTGAAACTTTTCTGTTTTCTCTACAGGTCGGTTCTAGAATATGATGTTCCTGTTTGGTTTCTGCACCAGAATAACCTCAATGAGTGCCTTGAAGATTTAATACAAAGACACTTTACTACATGTAGATCCTGGCTTCTCTTCCGTTTATCCAATTTCCTATTATATAACCAATGTCTCTCTGTACTGAACCTGCCCTCTTTGTATGCAATTTGCTTATTCCAACTTTCTCTTCCTTCAACAGTTTTCCTTGTTCTCTGAGATTCGTAGCTTTGTGTTTCCACGGGATATTGACCACTTTGATTCATTGGTGCTGAAGAGAGAGGTTGAGTCTATGAAGGTGAGCTTTGTAGGTACTCATTTTGCAATTAAAAAGGTGATCTTTTTTCATAAGACTCAATTTGGAGTGAGTGCTGAATTTAGCAAGATGTTGCTCCAGGGAAGGCCTTTTGGTATTCTAATATGGATGACAAACAATTTAAAGCTGATATAGCAAACCGGGGAAATCAGTCATTTGAAACCTCCTCAATAGATTAGTTTTCTGTTCACATTTTTTTCACTGATGATGTGGAATATGATAAATTCAAGACCTGTCAAATTTTAGAGGCTGGTAAACTGAACACCAGTTTTCTCTTGAACTAGTATGGTCCTGAATGTAATTGAACAAATATTAGACTCAGAATTAAGATTGGAAGCTCTTTCATTGAACAATGACATTTTCTTTTGCCTGGTAAATGGTACCAAAAGAAATTTAAAAGTATGTTTTCACTTTTTTCAAGTTTGAAAAGTATTTTTGTTTCATTTTTTATTTCTTGTAGTTTGCAAATCCCTTTATGAATTGATGAATGGGTAGTTTTGAAAATCCTGGTTAGGTGGTTACATGTAGATACATGCACCTGCACCATACAGCATACATGGCATAATCTGACGGCGAACACATGTACGTGTCCATGTAAAATTGTATTATTTTTTGTAGGCGTAGATGAAGGTGGATGGAATTAAATCTAAAATGGCCGTTTGTACGTGGTATGTACGTTGTATGCTTTCATGGTAAACTCGTTCCTACCGCTAGGAAGAGAGAAAACGACATGGAATGGCTGGGATCCAGTGACCCTGGTGACAAAATGATATATTCCAAACTTCAACAACCCGAAAACAAGATGATAATTCTAAAAAAAAAATTTGAATTAAAAAATTTTAAATGGCCCCTATAATTGCTTAACCTTTACTTCCAGTCAAGACTGGTCCAAACTAGAAGTGCTTTATTATCTCAAATCGATAATAAATCTGAACCCACTCCTAAAGATGTTCGTCTCTGTTTTCCTCAAAACATGCACCTGTCACATTATGCAACACTCTAGGGCCCTCTTGTTAGTGGTTGAGAAAAAATTCAAAAATCTATTTGGATAGATGTCTATGGTGAAGGTGGCATTAATCGCTTGAAAATTAGTGGATGCAATGATCTTTACTCATCAGACCGGAAGCATAATGAAGAAACCTTAAGTTCATTAAAAATCGCTAAAAATTCAATTCCAACAGCTGCAATGTGAAGCTCCATCGAAAGCTACTGGTAGAATCAATATCTGTATCCATTGTCTAAAGCATTTGGTTTGTTTCATTGTTCATATGCGGTGTGCAAAGCTTATGCCATCTGCTGAAAATATCGGCAACTCAACCTGTTTGGGTAAGAGCCGTAGCAGAAGAGCCATCGGCTTCGTACACGTAAAGCGTATAATGGAACCACACTGTTTCAGGGCCGGATAACATTCCAACCACATGGCAGGGAAAGCTTGTGAGCCACTCTGGCAGCATGGTGCCATTGAAAGAAATCTTCATGTAGTGTAACTGCTTTAGCACAATAGCAAGGAAGGTAGTGGTCACACAGACCCAGATTTGATTCCATCCTGTTGCATGCTGGTAAAAACACTGTGTGTTCCTGCCCATTCTAACTTCTTATTTATCAAACTGAATGAGTTCCCCGAAACAGACCACTGTTTGTCTACCGACAAACACATCATTTGTCTCGTTTCTTCTGCTTGTTCTCCCAAAATCCCATTCCTTTTGTACATGTTTTTACCATGCAGCACTTTCTTCCCCTTGCAGGTTCATATCTACATCAAAGTTGAGTCAGTTAAAGACCCTATAGCACAGATGTGTCTCAAAGCATGACATCACAATGACCTTATCACTTGATTTATTATGAAATTTTGAATATTTAATTTTCGCTATAGATTTTGTACACATTTTTCAACAGCAAAACTGGAGCACTTTTAATGATGGCACCTATTCAATATTTGGTGCACACCCTTAGCCCACCAGCTAGAGAGGGCCCTTTAATTTGCACACTTCAAAGTCCGATGTCTCCTGAAGTACGTGTCCGATTGGGTTGAAACTTTCCAGATAGAAAGAAAGGGATGTGTTGTAGATGAAATTTGACATCCTGTAATGATCACATCATCATGTGACAGGTCATGTGACATCAATTGTGAATCCTATAATGCCTTTTAGCTCCGGAAGTACATGTCGTTTTGGGTCGAACTTTTGCAGGTGGATAGATGGGGATGTGTTTCGGACCAGATTTGACATTGTGTAATGATTACATCAACAATTCACCAGTAAAGTGACATTTAAGGTGCACCCATTAACCCCTTCTGGCCGGGATTCTTTTTACCTTGACTGCTGGGCTGCAGTTTGCCCAGAATGCAAAGCTCTGTCCAGCAGCAGGCCCCACTGAAACCGCAGCTGCATGGTGAATAGAATGTGTGGTATGCACTATCCTCACACAAAACCGCGGCTGTCGACGGTTCTGGTGCGAAGGGGTTAAATAACTATATCTTCTAAAGTACATGTCTGGTTGGGCTGCTACTTTATTATTTGATGATGATATCACCAGGTGTCAAATCACCTGAAATTTGAGGTGCAGTATTTCAATCGTTACACATGTACAGATGTATCTCCTGAACTAACTGTGGACTTGCAATAGTGACAAGGAGATTTTCATTTCAGTGCTGAAAATGCGAAAAAGCCATTTGTTCCATCCGTTAGACAGACAAAACTTGTAGTTAGCTGTTTTGGGCACCAGCCAAAATGGCATTCTTTTTGTCAAGAAGACTTGGGCTTTTTTGCAATTTTGTGAAAAAGGCATTCTTTTTGTTTCTTTTTTTTGCTTTTTCGCAACTTTGCGAAAAAGGCATTACTTCTGTTCTTTATTTTGGCATTTTCGAATTTGGCGAAAAAGGCATTCCTTTTGTTCGTTTTTTTGCATTTTGCAAAAAAGCCATTCCTTTTGTTTGTTTTATTTTTTTTGGCTTTTTCGCATTTTGCGAAAAAGGCATTCTTTTTGTTTTTTTATTTCTTCCTTTTTCTTCTTCTGCTCAAAAGTCCATTTGTTTTGTGCACCTTTTTTTCTGTACACGACTTTAGTGCTTTTGCAGCTTTGGATCTTCATCAAACTTGTACCAATGAAGGACCCTGATGCAGAGATGGTCCAAGAACAATGACATCATGATGTAATCAACAAGTGATTTATTATTGATTTCTCAATATTTATTTCAGCCTATTGAATTTGTACACAATTTCAAGGTAAAATTCCGGTTGTTCACCAGTATTCAAATGTCATCAAAGTTCCACCAAGGAAAGACAATGAAGCAAAGGTAATACTCAAATAAATACGTCATGATGACGTCATCAAGTGATTTATTAGTAAATTTTGAATATTTAAATATAACATTATTATTTTAAAATCCATATAAAATCAACTGTAGCTTCCCACAACATTCTGTTGTGGCAAATGCCAGGGAAAAATGCGTCTTCATTTTATCTTGTGTGTGTCAAATCATGTGACCCTTCCTTCCGGGCGAAACCGCAAGTGGGCTTCTTGTTTAAAAGTTGTAATAGGTATCAACTTGCTTTCAATGGTGTTAGTTGGTGGGGGTATAGCATTCTTCAAATCATCTGCTTATGACGTCACGTAATTTTCTAGTGCCCTCTAGCAACAGGTTAAAAATTCAGAAAAATTAATTTTCAGTAGATGTCTGTGGTGAAGTTTGCCCGAATCGCCTGAAAATTGATGTGTATGATATGATCTTCACCCAGTCAACATGTGTGAAATTGGGGGCTGATGAGGTCATCAAACCGGAAATTATGATAAAAAGTCCTTTTTTCCTTCAAAATTTGGTAAAAAATCAACTGTAACAGATTTAAGCATGAATTGTTAATAAGTTGATAGCTAAAACATTGAAGTCAACTGCATGAAGTACGTAAGTAGTGTACTTCTTCACACAGATGAAGCTGTGTACGTGGATGCACAAAATGTGCCTGAAATGTAGGCAGCACACACTGTGTAGGGAGTTGGCGTATCGCCAAGCACATGGTGCGGAGAGCAGAGGGCATTGTATGGAATCCCAAAAGGAGAAATGTTTGCAATATCTAATCCTGACTCTTTCCGTGATAACAATAATGTTTTGAATTGTATTTTGTATTGTACATGTCTGATCAGTTAGAAACCTTGCAGGTAGTTAGGAAAGAAAGGTATATACTCGAAAATAGACCTCATGTGATGACAATGTCATCAGCAGGTAAGGCATGTGACGTTAACTTTAGGTGGATCTTTTAAGGTGCTATATTTCCGGAAGTCTGATTGGGTTGAATCTTGGTTGGTATTTAGCAAGGGAAGTGTTGTAGATGAAAAATAATGTCATGTGATGACGATGTCATCAGACAATCATGTCAAGTGACATTAAAGGTGCGCCCTACAAAGCACTATATTGGGTTCAAACCTTGCAGATATCTTAGAAGGAGAGTTTTGTGCATGTTTCTTCAGCCAACAACTTTAGCCCCCTAACAACTTCGGATCTTCATCAAACTTGCACCAATGAAGGACCCTTATTCATAGATCGTCCTAAAAGAATGATGTCATGATGACGTCATCAAGTGATTTATTATTGATTTTTAATGTATATTTCAGCTCATTGACTTTGTACATGTTTTCGAGGCACAGTTTTAGTAATCTCCAATAGTCATTAAGTTTCAGTTGCAGAGATAAGTTTTCAGCTCACTCGTACTCCACCACGTAAAGAGGGTCCCAAAACAAAATTGTCATAATGACAACCCGGGGTCATGTGGCATGAGATTAAAGGTGCAGTATTTCTCCGTGGGGATTGTACATGGTTTTTACTATGCACTGTTATCGATCCGAATGACTGTGGGGATCTCAACTTCAGCCGAGGATTACTGTGAGAACAAAAGAGAAATCTTTTGCTTTCCATTTGATTACAAATATACCCAAGAATATAAATATGAAGGAATATTTTGAAAAAACATTTCGACTTAGACGCAAAT